ACCATTCCATCGGCCTCTGTATCTATCAGGGTTTAATGTAAGAAACAAAACCCACTCTAGGTATGTCAAACAGAAATTAGATAATTACAAAATTTTCAGAAGGGCTAGAAAAGTGGGAGTCAGCAAGATCCCCACTGGTGCCATTAAATCCAAGAGCACACCCCCATCACTGCAATCCAGAGCCCGAGACAGCACTGACCCTGCGGCCCCTTCTACCAACACCACTGCGTCTTAATACCCACCAAGTGGATGACACCAGAAATGCCCTGCCACAGCAATAGCTGCCTCTTAACACAATGTCTGTGTTTTAGACATAGCAGCAGGAAACTGACCTCTACTCCTCTTCCCCAACCAAAATACGCATGAGTGTACCCCAAGCCCTGGCTATAAAGGAGATGTGAAAGGTCATTATAAGCTTTTCAATCTCTGCTACACAGAACACACCAGTAAAGGGGGAGTTGGACGGAAGCTGAGTCAGTCAATCTACAGTAGCCACTCCGGGCTTGTCGCAGCCATATGATACAATGGCCGTGTCCCCTATCATCTGTCCCTTTGGGGAGTCAACATCCATATGCATTTGCCTCTCAGCAACTCAAGTTGTTTTCTTTCTTTTTTAATTTAACTATCATGACTGTCTCTCCATGTTAATACATCTCCAACATCAGTCTTAATACTGAGGAAGATGGAGGAGACCATAATGAATATGGCAAGAACACGGCCATGTTTCAGTACATCTAAAGTACTGTTTCTTAAAGTGTAGTCCAAACACTGCTTGCCGAAGAATCACCTAGAGCGCCTGTTAAAAATGGAGACTAGGAGACCCAACTCAGACATACGAAATCAGGATCTCTGGAACTGGGCCCCCAAAATGCACATTTGTAACAAGCTCCCAGATAATGTTTATCTCACTAAGTTTGAGGATCGTCCATTTATTTTAAAGTGAGGAATTATTTCCCCCAACAAACCAGAATATTTCTGTTTTCTTGAACTTTTCTGCTCTCTGGTTTTTATTTTAGGAGACAACAATGGATGGTCTTTGCAACTTGACACATATTTGGCCTATAACTACAAAATGACTTTCCCATATTCCTTTGATGCAGAAATATCAGAATGCCGTAAGTAATCAGAGTTGTGGAGTCTCCTTTTCCATGAGTTCATAATAAGACATCACATCTTTAAAAGTTGAATCCAACATATTTGTTTAAATAAAAATGTTAGTTGTAGTTTTCCTATAGCAAACTCTATCAGACATGCTCTTAATTTGAGTATTTTATGTAAAATTACTCAGGGATCTTAGTGTAAAAGTAATAAATCATGTCAGGTATTGTTGTGAACAAAATTACTGTTAGTCAGTCAGGGTTGCGATTTTATGTTCCCTTTTTACAGCCACTATAAACTCTGATATAATGGAAACTGTGGAAATAGAAGAGCAAAAAAGCTGTTTGGATTTTAATGTTTGTAGATGAAAATTTTTCTGAGGTCTAAACTATAG